AAATTTCAAAATCAGACACACTTGATTATCAAGAGGGTTGCGAAAATCATTGTCAAAGAAGACAACAGCAAAACACACAAACAAGGATTCCAATTTTTTGAGCTAAATATTGGGGAAGGAAAAAAGCTCGCATCCATTGTCGAATGAAAGATAATCAAGATCAAACTTCAAAATTGAATGGAAAACCAATTTCTTGATGATTCTTTAATTACATATGTTGAAAAAGAAACTATTTTGAATTTTAGCACATATTCAATTATAAAAGAGTTTAATAATATGAAAAAACGTAGAGCAAGAGTTAAGTGAATTGACCTTAAATTTTGTAATAAAACTCTTTCAAACTTTTTATATTAAGTTCATATATATATGATTGTATATATTTTTCTTAATAATATAAAAAAATTAGCCTTCCTCTATAAAAATTTCTGGGTCCGCTACTGCGATGACCCCAATGGATATGATATATATTTGTTTTTAAAGATATATCTAAAGTAGATCACTACGTACGGTATTCGGGATTATATATGAATGTATTTTATTTGCACGAGTTTAGTGTTTTGAAAAAACTATGGTTGATGATCATCACTTCCGAGAAAAGAATCTTATGACAAATGCTGATTTTAAGATGACCACAAAATTTAAGTTAGAAGTTATTTTTAGCTGAAGCTAAAAAAAATAGCTTAAAAATAAAGTTAAAAACTGTTTGAAAATTACATAAAAATTTTAGCTTAAAAATTATTTAAAAACACATATTTTAAGAAAATTATTTCTCTCTAACTTTATCACTCTTCATTTTTTGAAAAAAGCACACAATTAAAGAAAAACAGATAAGAGCTTAAAAAAAAGCTCCTCCTATGAGCTTTTAGTTTTCAGCTTTTTTCTTCATTATAGAAAAAGAGCTTTTCATTATAAGAGCTATTCCTAAAACCTGTTTGACCTAGCTTATGCTTATAAGTAGCTTCTAGTTTAAAAAAGAGAGATCCAAACAGGCACTAAGTTAAAATGTGTTATTGAGTTTGGGAAATGATCCGTTTACAAACTTTTTTTACAAATTACACTAAGTATGACCGGTCATACACTCTTGATTGAAGTATGACCGGTCATACTTAATGTAGTTTGTAAGAGTTTGTAAATAAAAAATTTATAAATATAATCTTTCTCGTTGAGTTTATTTGTTAGGTGGTTTTCCGTAGGTGGGCAATTTTTTTTTTCCAGGAAAGCGATCCCAAGATTCTTATTTTGCCATGTTTGATATGAGGAATTCTAAAATTTATCCTGGAAACTTTATATTGCCTGAATTTGAATTAATACATAAACATCCTAACAAAGAATGCCATTAGAAACGTGGAATTTCAAGAATCCTGTGGCATGTTGAGTGAATTTTCAGACAAAAATATCTTCCATCAGAAACGCAGTTCAGTTTTGTTGTTTTGAAAAGTTGAGGTTAGTTTGGTAAATTCACTGTATATTCCTAATAATATTTTACCATAAATCAAAGGTAGACTCAATAAAATTTATCTAATTTTTACGATAACATTTTGGTCTACCAAATAATTTTTTATAACATTCATTGAAAACTCATTTTTCTATTATATTTCCGGTAATCGTAATTCTCGGGTAAAAGAAATTTCTCCTCTATTAAATGCTCCCTTAAAGGGAAATTTTTTTCTACAACGATAGCGATAAGAGATAATAATCTTATGTCATAGAGACACAAAAACACGTGCTTGCATTTTTTTTCTTTTTTGTATTTTTCTTTAGTTTGTTGCATTTTTTTTCTTTTTTGTATTTTTCTTTAGTTTGTGGGCTGCACATTTTTTGTTAGTGCTAGAAAAAAAAAACTTCTCACATGTTAATGAGAGAAGTATCGCCCTTTGTTAAAATGTAAAGGAAATTACATTTACCACCTCTTTTCTTTATAATTTCTTACAACCACTTTTATAGTTTTTGGATCAAAATCAAATCAATGATTGTCACTTAATATCATTTTGTAACAGTTAATTTGATTTTGATCCAACCACTATAAAAATAATTTTAAGAGGTTATAAGGAAAAAGAAATTATAAATACGAGCTTACTCATAAAATATTATTTAATGTATTTGATGGTAATTTTCTCTACTATAAAATCCCTAATACCCAAGAGAATAATACCTAGTTTTGAAATATAGACATAAATTTGGAAGTAACCTTTACTACTACTTTTTGTTAACAAAAAAGGAATTATATATTTAAAAAGAGATTAATATTTCTTATATTATAAGAGATAATTTTATCTCCTACATACACATAAAATATATGGGCCCCATATTAGGTCATATGAAGAGAAGAAAAAAGAAAGAAAGAATTATGGGCCTTGTACACTTTTATGTGTATATTGAAAATAAAATTATCCCATGCAAGAAACACTAATCCAATTTAAAAAATAGCAAATGCACTTAAGAAAGAAAAACTGAATTTTTTATTACATTTTATCATTGATCCATTTATTTTTTTCTTCCTAATTACTCTCACAAACAAGTATTGGTATTTATTTAATTTTTAAAATTTAATTTTTTCTCTTTAATTATGTATGATTAGTTATAAAACGTCCGTAACATTTTTATATAAAAACTTTCATAGTAAATAACAGAGGTGATATTTTTGAACATTCATAAGATGATGCGTGATGACACATTGACACTGCATTATTGTAACAAAATTAAAGGTATTTAAAATGCAATCGGGTCTGTTACGATCTTAAATAGTCAATATATTTACGTAATGTTAATAATTAACTGTTTAAGGTTTCGGTTTCTTTTGTTTATTTTTAATGAAATGTCAATAAACGTTACCCGCTAACAATTTCAACTTTCCAAATTGACATTGTCAAAAGTCTTTCTTTTTCTCTCTGTGTCTCTCACTTAGGAGAATTTTTTTTTATATCATCCCAAATTATCTTTTCATGCAAGTCGGTCTCACTTTCTTTACAAGCATTAATTCTTTGAATTGGTTACGAGATTAATTTTCAGTTGAGATTTAATAATAGTTAAAATTCTTCATTTCTTTTTAAAAATATATGTGGGTAAGAATCGAACTCAGATTCTAGGAAAATATTTTTAATACTTTTCAATAATGAAAAATGATACTACTCTTTATTTTTATTTTATTTTAATAAACCACACTTGAATGTGCCACTTAAAATAACACCTTTAGTATAAGGTAGAGGTGTTCGCGGTCTGGATTGGATCGATTTTGGAAACAAAAATCATCTGATCCAATCCTTTCGATTTGATCATCTAATCATCCATTCAGTTTGAATTTTTTTCAAATCCGATCCGATCCAATCGAATTTTTTTCGGTTTGAATTGGATCAGTTTTTAGTTTTTTGAAAATCCTAAAATTAGTTTCATGATTATTGTGTAAATAACATCTTTGGTATATATTGGCTTTGTAAATTTATTTATTTTTTGAAATACAAAAGCATTAGTAAACGATAATATAGTTATTTTTTTGGACAATGAGATATGAAGCTCTACACAGATAAAATTTTGTTGATGGGATGTGACTAGATTTTTTTTTTGGTTTAGTTGATGGGTTAATGGGTTTAAAAAATGGGGGGTTATGATTGGAGAAAGGCCCAAATAGGTAGAAGAGAATTAATATATTTGATCGGTTTGGATTTTATCAACCCATCCGAAAACCGATCCAATCCAATTAAAATTTGCGGTTTTTTTCGGTTTTCGATTTTTCAATTTTCGATTTTTCGGTTCGGTCACTGTGGTTTGAATCGGTTTGGATTGGTTGATGAACATCCCTAGTATAAGGGATTAGTATTTCTTATATTATAGGAGTTATATATATATATATATATATATATATATATATATATATATATATATATATATATAAATAGATGGAATCCATATAAAATGGCGGAGAAGAAAGAAATTAAGAAGGATTTAATGTTTATACAGTGAATATAGATAAGTTATTTACATTTGTTTTCAAAACGACGTAGTTTTGAGTTAAAAATTTATAATTAAAAAGATTATTATAACCCTGAAATAAATTATAATTATAAAAATATCTTGATTTTCGTCTCAAAATAACATTGTTTTGGGCTCAATATAAATAAATTTATCTATATTGATTAAAAAAAATGAATCCAAATAAAAAAATATAGATCTCGTCCTACGCCAGATAAAACTATAATGATACTATTCTGTCATTCAAGATAAAACACTTGTATTTAAAACTCTTATTGTATGTGTCAGAAATGAATCTCCTTTTCTACCTTGCCCCTTCATCACCAAGCCTATAAAAATGCACTCTTTAACTTGAATGGGTGCATAATAATTTGTGGGGTTTTCACTTCATACAGGTCTTACTCTTTCTTTGCATGTTATCTCTCCTTGTTATTCTTGATTATTGCTGCTTGTTCATACCCTTTTCTCTAACTTAGTCTCATTCACATTGTACTTGAATTCTTCCATTGATTGCTAACCCAAGTGTGATTCCTCATACGTCATAATGCTTCATTTTGTTGTATAATATAGTGTATATATGTTAACTTAGAAACTTGAACACAAGCACTGATGTTTGTTAACTCTTTTATTAAAACTGGTGATCGAGGTTGGATGGTACATGCATTTCAATGATTATATTGTTAGTTAAGTCAATTTAATTGGTTTGTTCCAAGCTTCTGGAGATTTAAGATGAGGAGGGGATTCATTACTTCTCTCTTGCTACAAGTTGTTCCACTTGTTAATCTATTTGTGTCATAAGAAAATTCCCAATGTAAATATACATATATCATTTTTCAATTTGGCTTTTTTCCGCATAAGAACAAGGATCTTCCTTATGATGTATTAAGTTCCTTCTAGCTTTGTCACTGATGTACAGTCTTTGGCTTTTCACTGCACTGGTTATTTAATGTCTTGTAATTTATATTCTTCCCTTTCAAGTTTCGAGCTAAATTGGACTGTTTCATTTTAAAAGATTACAGAATCATCAAGGAAACATGGCTCATTTTGAAAAAGATGAGGTGCCAACTCTGTCAGAAACACATGCTCAACATCAATCTGATGAAGCTGTGGATTCTAATTTCCGGAGGCTTGTATACCGGACACGAAGTGCATCAATTTCTATTCCTATGGTCTCCATGGATCCCAATGAGAGAGAAGCTAGTCTTGTGGGACATACTGGTCCACTTCGTAGTGTGAGAAAAATCCCCTTTAAACATATGAGTGGTCCACTGTATGCTACCCATGGAACTGGAAATCTTCTGCATCAGAGTATTGTTGTGACAGGAAACGAAGTAGTGGAGAGCAAGGAAGAAAAATTTTCTACTGGAGAAGGCACAGACGAAATAAATGCTAGAAAAAATGAACACTTACTGAGGTCTGGGCAACTGGGAATGTGTAATGATCCTTATTGCACTACTTGCCCTACTTACTTCGAGGCCTCTTCTCTAAGAAATCCAAGAGCTTCGACTATATTTGATCCCAAGGTGTCTTTCTTCCTAAAATAGACTGTTAGTTCTTCTTAAATTTATGAAAAAAATGACTTCTATGTTTTGAAGATGACTTCAATTATGTACTGCATAGTAACAAATTTGTGCTACACATCTTTATTCTGACCAAGGTCAGGAGTTTACTATGATGACTTTTTAAAAAAAAAATAATTTATAGATATTTGATTGAATTATACTGTACTCAAGTGTTTCTTAAGTAGCCCATATTTTTCATATTTATGCACAGCCTTACTTTTATATTGCTTTCATTGTCAATCAATATGATGAGTATACTTTTTTAGTTATATAGTTGTGGCTTTTGCACTTCTACATCATCTATATTTATGTTAGAAATCAAGATGGCGAATAGTATTTCTATGAAAAGTATTCGGTTTCAATTGCTATTTACTTATATGGGTTCGTCGTTTCTTCTTTCGCTGCTGACGAGAAAAGTTGCAGCAAATTATTAACACCCCGTATCCTGGCCTAAAAAAAAAAAAAACACATCAGGATTCGGACGCGTATCCTGATAAAAATAAGTGTTGCTGCACTTTTTCCCATCTGCAGTGACAGAAGAAGTATATAACCCTACTTATATATATATATATATATATATATATATATATATATATATTCATAAGAAAAGATTGTGGATTTAGTGTCTTAAGGCCCTATTTAGATCAAGCATCTAAAGCTTGCATGCTATGTGATTTTGGTCTATCAGGAATAGCCACTGTTTTAGAAAATTCAGAATATATACAAAATTCAAAGTAACAAAATAATTGATTTACAATCTAGAAAATAATTGTTTGGTTTTGAATCACCCACTTGGTGATGCTTTTCTCCTATGAATATGAGCTCCTAGACAGGTTAGCAGCTCCTATTGCCATTTCTCAAAACAAATCTGAACTATAGGGACTAAATTGAATTTTTCTGAAACTTTAAGGATTAAGTAAGTAATTTAACCTCTTGTAATAGTATTTATAATTGCCAAACAATCCTTATTCCCTTTACTTTAGGTACACTACAAGAAACCACTCTCTTAACCTGCACAATTTCGTTATTACCATACTCTTAAAATTTGTTTTAAAGCTGAATCTATTTGTATTGTTCTTTTTTGTTGATATCATTGTCTGATTTAGGTGCATTAGAAGTATTGTCAATCGACAATTTCAAGCTGTCTCATTATTTATGCAACACTTATTTTTTTAACACTGATAAACTTTACTGTATATCAGCATACTTGAACTTCTTCTGACCTTTTCATTTGCATTTGTAGACATTTATGTGCTGTCACTTTCACATAACCAAGGGTAGTTTTGTTCTTGTTTTAAATGTTTACAGTTCCACAATGCTCTTTATGGGGATGCCAAGGGTTTTGGGGGAAAACTTTTTTCTTTCTGCTCTTCATATGTTCCTGGAGTTATGAACCCTCACACTAAAATCGTACAACAATGGAACAAGTTTTTGGCCATTTTTTGCCTGGTGGCGATTTTTGTGGATCCATTGTTTTTCTTCTTAATCTATGTGCAGAAGGTATGATTCTTTTCCTTTTATTTAAATACCAAGATTTCCCTCGTATGCAAATTTACTTTACATTGTTCCAATTCATTGTATGCAGGATCATAAATGTATTGTTATCAACCTGACATGGACAAAAATACTTGTTTCACTGAGAAGCGTGATTGATTTTCTATATTTCTTGAACATTCTTCTCCAGGTAATTTATCAGAAATTCCCCCTGCCCCTTACCATACGTTTGAATTTTTCTAATCTGTATATTCTTAGAATGGTGTCATATTACTAGCTTGAAGAATATAATAGCTCCTTCAATGACAGCAAGTTTTTGTTATTCAATTTTACTATTTTTGAGAAGGTAAAGATGTTGAAAGTGTATGTCAGAAGAGCTTTCTAGGTACAGAATAACACAGTTTAGGTTTGTTCTTGCGTCATGCACAATTGTTCACTAGAGAATAATTAGATCATTGAAGCTTCAAAAGCGCGCTAAAAATTTCCCGTAAACTTCTGCATCTTAGTAAATAAAGAAGCAGGTTAGTCTCCTAGTGCCACTTGAAACAGAAGAGTGTTAGGCCTTGCCATCATGTCAAGCATACTTGTCTCAAAGATATACAGCTGTTTACGGAGGTGTTTCTTATTTTACTCTGTCATCTCTTTATTGTTTTTTCGATGAATGCATATAGACAATTTTAATAGATGGGGAGAGCTAGGAGCAAGTAGCTGGGGGAAATAAGGTATATCTAGAAAACTTCATGAGGAAACTTAAAAGATATGTTTGAGCATATGATGATGACATGGAAAGGATTGATATGTGTGGCTCCAGCTTAATAGTAATAATAAAAAAGCCTCTTATGCATCTCTTCAAGTAGCATTCATCATCTTAAAGCAACAAAATTCTTGTTGAAGTAATGAATGCACTCCGTTAAGCTACAATGCATGAGATTCCGGATGAGACTTCCTCTATCCTTTCCACGATAATATGAACTCCGATGAGCATAATAATATTCAAACCAGAAAAAGTTAAAGAAGAGATCCACATAGTATATACACTAGGAATGTGATTTACTTACTCTCTGGTGGTGGATCAAGTACTAAAGATATTTATTATAAATGTAATAATTATTATGTTACTGTAATTTGAGACATAGTGTAGGTAATTTAGGTATTAGGGTTCAATTATTAACTTTATCTTCCCCCTGAATATAAGCCAACTCGAAGGATGTCATTCAATTCGAATAAAATTTCAGTATCCCATCTGTAAGTATGTCTGAATCTTGTTGCGTTCCCCATCCCTAATTTCACATCAACCACTCCATTGAAACAATTATTCCATATATTCTATCAGTGTTGGGATGTTTTCCCTCATATTTACAAACCTAAGATTATTTATTTATTTTTACGTTTTTTTTTTTTTGTGTGTGAAGAGTATCTATTATTTATTGACAATCAGCCATATGGTGTCAGCTACGTTATATTAAAAATGGAATGCATTAATTGACTCAGATTAAAAATAGGCTGGATTGCTTTACTATAACCTTGTTGTTAGTACATTGCTGCATCTCTGTGTACTTACGTATGTCTTGTTATGTTTTTTTTATTAGTCGAGGTAGAAGGAAAAGAAAAGAAAAGAAAGTGCCTGAATCTTAAATATGGTTGTTATGGTTTTTAAGTCTAGTTTGGGTTGCTTCTTTGCAGTTTAGGTTGGCTTATATTTCCCCTGAGTCAAGGGTGGTTGGTGCTGGAGATTTAGTTGACGGTCCCTGGGAAATTGCTTCTAATTATATGAAGGGTTACTTTTTTTTGGACTTTCTGGTTGTATTACCTTTTCCGCAGGTAAATTTCTCCCCATCTCTCTTTCTTCGTAGTTTGCTTATTGTAACTTGGTATTTTGGTATCCACTTTATGTTCCACTCAAAGTTTATATTATGAATTATGAGATATACATGCCTTACAATTGAATGTGAATACTAAAATGATATTTTCTCTCCATTTCCTGGTTGTAATCAGATTTGACGGAAAAAAAAATCTAGTCATCTCATGCAATATCTGTTTTATTATGGGATTAGGGTTTCACATGAAATTGAGGTTTCTTTTTCTTCTCTTGTTTCATTTGAAATATCAATTATTAAGTTGTGATATCCTTGTTCCAAATAAATAAGGAGTCCTTGGGAGATGCTGTTAAGTTTTTCAGATCTATTGTAATTACTGTTGTTAAAGGCCAAATTTTTAAACAGCTTAAGCACCAGGTGCATGCACATAAATAATTTTTATCCATCATGAACTCCTGAATGCACAAGTCTTTCTCCTTGAAGCAAAGACATGCCAAAGGTCAACCTTATATTGTGTTGACATTGAAATTAATTAAGGAATTGGGGCCATTGAGATTCTATGTGTTGACAATGAATCGTAGAGGCTTAATACCTTCTTAAGAACCGATTATCCTAAAAGCTTAAGCAGCTAGATATTGGCTAGAAATGATTTTTATCTATAATAACTTTCATGCTGTAGCAGAGTAAACCCTAAAGATTTTTTGTCTTGTTTCTATCTTTATCTTTACAAAAGGCTTCTTGTCTTATATCATCATGTTCAATTTCGAAGTAAGCCACAGTTATTACACCTTTTAGTGTATTATTGTGAGGAATAAGTAGTTTGTGGACATGAACATGTGCTTGAGAACAAGTAGGTAGCAGGGGAAGAAAAGGGTTTTCAATATCTGAAAAAGACTATGGGTTTATTATGTACTCATCAAACTCCTTGTCATGACATATGTAGTGAAATATTTGCAGATAATGATATTGTCTGTCCTACCAAATTCCTTCGGTTTATCAGGAGCAAATAATGCTAAGAATCTTCTGCGTGTACCAATCCTTGTACAGTATCTTCCCAGATTATTCAGGTTTCTGCCTCTGCTTATTGGCCAGTCTCCCACTGGATTCATATTTGAGTCAGCCTGGGCAAATTTCATTATAAATCTTCTCATTTTTATGCTATCTGGGCATGTTGTTGGTTCTAGCTGGTACCATTTTGGTCTACAGGTGAGTGAAAATGATATTTGAAGCTTCTTTTTAGAAAAATTCGAAATTTCTTCCTCACTAAATTTCATAATTTGCTTTAAATTCTCACATTGCACGAAAGTGGAGAAAAGGTACCCTGCCCAGAACAAAAGGAAAATGCAGAATAAATACCACTTGATTCACTTCAATTCTCGTGGTTTTCAAGTGGTTCTATATTGTAAAGAACTTTGGGATACACCACCCCAAAAGCTAACTCAAACGGTGGGAGTGCCCAAGACCTTATAAACTCCACATTAGTTGCACATACAACCAATGTGGGACTATATATCTCAACACGCCCCCTCACACGAGAGCCTATTGGGCTTGAAGAGTGGACAATGCAACAGGCCCGGCCTACCTGTGCTAAGAAACGCCACAAGAGAAAGTGGGGGGCGGCGAGGCTCTGATACCATGTAAAGAACCAATTCAACCCAAAAGCTTAAGTTGTTGGGTGAGGCTACATTAATGGTTTTATATATCTCAACACGCCCCCTCACACGAGAGCCCACTGGGCTTGAAAGGTGGACAATGCACAGGCCCACCTACCTGTGCGAACAAAGAAATTCCACTTGAAAGAAAGTGGGGGGCGGCGAGGATCGAACCCGGGACATGACCCCAAAAGAACCTTGGGATACACCACCCCAAAAGCTAGTGCCCATGACCTTATAAACTCCACATTAGTTGCACATACAACCAATGTGGAACTATATATCTCAACATATATAATACGACAATATGTAATGAGAATTACAGGAAAAATAATGTATGATAGTAGTATATGGCAGTGTGTGCTCAGAAATTTAATTAGCATTCTACTAACTTTCTCCCTTTCTCCCTCTTCCTTCTTCTAGAGGGTTAATCGATGTTTGCAACATGCCTACAATAGCACAGATGCCATTGCTTGTTTGAATTCCACTCCCAGTAATGATCCTTATTATGGGATCTATGCCAATGCTGTAGAACTTACTATAGAAACTAAAGTGGTCAAAAAATATTTGTATTCGCTGTTTTGGGGCTTCCAGGTATGTATCTCATTCTTTTCCTTTTTTGTTCCTTTGTTAGTGTGTGTGTGTGTATTAGTGTGTGTGTATGTATATATATCTATATCTATATATATATATATATATATATATATATATATATATGTATGGAAAATTGTTTCTCCTGCAACAGAAGATAAAGTTATCTCCAGCAACCTCAAAACGACACCGTTTTGTGGTTTAGGAAAAAAACGCGGGGTATTTTAATAATTTTACATTTCTTTTGTATCATATATCTTACTATAATATCTGTATTGCCAAACCCCAAAACCAAAGCAAATGTCGTTTTGGGGTTAGAGAAGATAACTTTATCTCATGTGAGGGAGAAATGTCACAGGAGATAAAGTTATCTCCAGCAACCCTAAAACTACGTTGTAATAGGAGTTGAGGGAATTAATGAAGGGTGTTTTGGTAATTTTGTTCATTTCTTTATTATATAAATTTTACGAAAACATCTCTCATTAACTCCCCCCACCTGCCAAAAAAAAAAAAATAACACACGTGTGTGTGTATATATATACATATATATATTGCTAGCCTTCTCTTCATGTACAAGTTACCATCATGCACTTCTTTAGCTGGATGAAAACACGTCATCTTTTCATAATTTACAAGACCTATTTTAGTAATAAAAATTCCCATTAATTCAGCTAAGGTTATAAATTATTCCGTAGGTAGTTTTACTGAATCTTTAAAGAAGTTCCTATTCTTTAAAACATCTTAATGGATCTCTATACTTCTAAAAATTTTATAATGAGTCCCTCTAATGCAACCAAATTTTCAATTTGGTCTCTGATAATTATGAATTTTTATAAATAAGTCCGTGAAATCTTTTTTTTTTTTTTGGTACATTGCCAGGAGGTATCCCCATTCAACCTTCTCCGGGTACCATGCCCTCGGGGTACGGCCCGTTTGGGCTAGCCCCTCATTGTAACAGTGGGTGCACTAAGCTTCGCAACCGGAGAAAGGACGAGACTAATCCCCAACCGAAGATTTTTTGACTTATCCTCTGGCCCCCAAAGATTTTCCAAGAAACTGCTTGAGGCAGGGTTTGATCCCTGCACCAAGCAATCCCTTGGGAGCTCAGCTGCCAACTGAGCTACCCTTGGGGGTTAGTCCGTGAAATCTTTAACAACAGTACAGAATGGCTTGTAGATTACTATAAGCATCCATTGACAGACTAACAGGCCATCAGTCAACGGGGACTTGTTTAAAAAAATTTAAACATATTACGTTTAAAATTTTTAAAGTTAAAGGGGCCTAATTGAAAGTGTAGTATAATATAGGCACATATAAAGTAATTTAACCAAACACTACTACGCTTTTGTAGTTTACAACAAATTCTTTTCCCTCTATCAATTCTCATTGTTTATCTCTCCCTCTCTAAAGCCCACCACTGGTAACCCCTTTGGAATTTAGGTGTAGATAAAGCACATCCCCACTTTATGTTGTGCAGGAATTATGATTTAGTTAGAAGAACAACAATGCTATTTGGTACTAAAGCTTTTCTACGAAAGTTGTTATGTATGTCTTATAACCAATCATGCTTGAAGAGTATAAGGTTTGAAAGGTAAATTGGTAATTGACAAACCGCAATAAACTTCTTTCATTTTTTTTTATTAAGTATTATATGAAAACATATTCATACCATTTAGCATTTTTCTTAGAAGAATGGGAAAGTCAAAGCTTGAATTCCAGAGCTCATGGTCATATATGCTCTAATATCATGTCAAGGCCAACTTGGACCAAAACTAAAAGGCACATAAATGGTTTGATATCCCTTAACAATTTTACCCTTGTGATCTTTTAATACAGCAAATTAGTACTTTGGGTGGTAATCTAACCCCGAGCAAATTTGAGTTGGAAGTCCTTTTTACAATGACCATCATAGGATTGGGACTCTTGCTTTTTGCCCTTCTCATTGGAAACATACAGAACTTTCTTCAGGCTCTTGGACGGAGGTAGGACTTGCTGTGACCCTTAGCTGTTGGTGACAATAGTGCTCTTAGTCATCTCTTTCCCTTTAAATCAACTTCTGTTTACAGTTCCTTTCATTTGAGAAATTAAAAATGATTCAGACGGATGAATGACAGCCGTACCGTAAGTGCAATTGTATCAAACTATAGGCTGTAATTCAAGTCATCTCTAAGTATTATATCTTGTTAATACTGTATAGGGCATTGTTTTGTCCTTGTTGGTTAGTTTAATTTATCGTATGCTGCAAGTTTCAAATGAACTTTGATAGTGTTCTAATGTGTTTAGGCTCATAACATGCTTCTTATATTTTCTTCTATCCTGCTTCAGGAGGCTAGAAATGCAACTTAGAGGCCGTGATGTTGAGCAATGGATGAGCCATCGTCGCTTACCAGAAGATCTAAGAAAGTATGAAATGTTCTCATTCTTTTCACAAATCACATCGACATTGCCGAAATAATATCTGTCAATTGGTTAATCCAAATAGTTGCTTGTTAACTCCCCGTCCCCTCCCACAACTCCTTTTCTTGACAATGTACATGAAGCAGTATACTGTTACAATGTGACACAGCTACTGTTTTACACATTGAGACTCAATTAAATTAGCAACTTCTGAAGACCTATTTTAGTTTTTAAAGAGAAACAAAAGATAATTTGTAATCTCTCATTGCATCTATTTGTGTCTGTCTGCAGTGCAGGTTTTCTTATTAAATATGATTAATCACTATGTGCATCAGTAGTATCCTTAATCCTGAAACTTATGCGGAATAACTAACTGTTGAGAACATCTTATTGGCATGCTGTCTTGCAAAGGCAATCCATTTTCCTTATTGATTGTGTCTTAATTTAATGATTTATTTTGTAAATACTGATTTACTCCTCTATTTCTTATTATACTAGACCATTCTAAATTTTTACAGCATTTGTGTATGTTACAATCATCTGCTTCTCATGAATTACGTGCTTAGTTATATTAATCGTATTGATATAGACAATGTACATATATGTGGAGCTACTGATTATCATATGATAGAGCATATAGGCTTGAATGCTAAGAAAATAGTATGTCAACTATTTTTTATTTTTTATTTTATTTAGGTTGTCACATGAACTTAAGAATCACACATATTGTACAAGTGATAGATATTATGTGTCATGCAGGAGAGTACGACAGGCTGAACGGTATTCTTGGGCTGCAACAAGGGGGGTGAACGAGGAAATGCTTATGGAGAATTTGCCAGAAGATCTCCAGACAGACATAAGACATCATCTCTTCAAATTTGTTAAGAAAGTATGCACTAGAATATTCGTGGCATAAATGACTATTAATAATTAAAAAAGACATCATGATTGATCATTAAGTGGATTTTAGTTATCTTGTTCATCTCTGTAATGATGATTTAATTTTCTCTGAGGATCTAAAATATATGCAGGTTCGAATTTTTGCCCTGATGGATGAGGCAATCTTGGATGCCATATGTGAGAGACTAAAACAAAAGACATACATCAAAGGAAGTAGAATTTTGAGTCATGGTGGTCATGTGGAGAAGATGGTCTTTGTTGTGCGTGGAAAATTGGAGAGTATTGGAGAAAATGGAATGGGAGTTCCCTTATCTGAAGGGGATGCTTGTGGTGAAGAACTTTTGACATGGTATCTTGAACATTCTTCTGTAAGCACAGGTATAGCAATACTTGATGCAATGATAAAATACCTGTTAAATATTTGAAGTACAAATCAGCAGAAGTTGCAATAATCAACAATTTGACCATACTACAAAATCAGAAAAAGCATGTTTCATCAATATGGTTTCTCTTGCAGATGGTAAAAAAGTAAGGCTTCCAAGACAGAGGTTGCTGAGCAACAGGACAGTAAGGTGCTTAACAAATGTAGAGGCATTTTCACTCCGTGCTGCAGACCTTGAAGAACTCACAACCCTTTTCACAAGATTCTTGCGGAGCCCTCATGTTCAAGGAGCTCTAAGGTCATTCATTCTATTTACTTGCATTTGGGTCACCATAATCTTGACCGTTTTATGACTTATAGTAATGAAAATCAATTATATCTCTCTCATGAAGAGGGCTGTTTCATTCTGTTGGTGAAGACACATGAATGATTTTATATTCTATTTCTAACACATCCCTCATGCGAAACACATTGACGTAATATTACAAATGCGTGATTTTTACCATGATTTCTATTTTCAAAACCATGGCTCTGACATAATGATATGATCATTTTATTATGTTAGGTATGAATCACATTATTGGAGATCCCTTGCAGCAAACCGAATCCAGGTTGCATGGAGATACAGGAAGAAGTGTCTAAGTCGTGCTAATACCTCACAATCAGTTCAAATATTGAAGTCGTGGGTTGTACTGTAATATCTGATTAGCTACCCTTTGTCATAGGTTGTACTGTTATAAATATCTGATTAGCCACACTTTGTCATAGGTTGTACTGTTATAAATATCATTGGTACACTTTATGAATGATTCTCTAATCCAAACATGAGGTTCTATGTTACGACCCATATTATAGGAGTAAGGCAGTTGTTGTTTGGGTGGTTAGGTTGTTAGTAGCGGTTAGGCCTTCAACTATATGAGGGAAACATTCTTTCAATCATCAGCATCTTTGGGATTGCATTGTAGAATTGACTTAGAAGTCTCTAAGTGTAAAGGGGTGCCCCTTGAGAAGAGCTTGCTTTTGAATTCTGTCGTTACACTCTTTCCTATTAATCAATAAAGAATTGTTCTTACTTTCATTTTCCTTCTCTTTCCGTCCTCCCCTACCCCATTTATGTAATTCTTACCTTGTAATAATCTAGGGCCGTAATTTTTCAATTTTCCATACTCCCCTCCCCTAATTTTTCAATTGTTTTTTTCAATTTTCCTATTTGTTTTACATGGGTAAGTTTGAATGGAGTGTCCCAAAATCAGGAATGTATCTTCTGATGTTAACATGACTATGACTATTATATTAGATGATTTCAAGTGTAGATAGATAAATCAATGGTTAATTGAAATATAGGAGGATTCATTCGCCCAAAACCACAATTTAAGTGGAGTGGCATTGTAGGATGTGATAATAGCATTATATTATTTTCTTTTATTATTATTTTTTATAAAAGTGGACTTTATTATATCTCAAAGTAATTTAAATAATTTTGTGACTAGTGTTTATCCATTTTTTAAAAATGATAATCATTTAATTTTTATGATAAGTTGTAGGGCTCAATCTATAATATCTATTAGTACATTTGACTCCCCATGGTCATTGGTGCACATGGCTCAGAAGGAAGGTAAAGTTGGAGACATGATTTAAACGAAGCATGCTACAAATTTAGTGGGCCAGCATCCAACTGAAGCCAAAGATGGGCAAAGATTTCAATAGAAAAGCTAGAGGAAATGTTGATGTTTGTGTGAACATAAGTCATCTTAGCCAAGTTCTCAAGTACTTTACGGTTCAAAATTTTACTTCAACACGACTTATTCATTCTTATCCATGCAATGATTGAATATATATATATATATATATATATATATATATATATATATATATATATATATATAGAGGCAGGATCCTTTGACACCGGTGTCAAAGAAAAAGTTTGACACCTCATATGAGAACCGTTAGATTAAAAAAAATCAACGATTCTGATTTGTAAACATGTGACACCATTGATTTTTTTTAATCTAACGGTTCTCAGATGAGGTGTCAAACTTTTTCTTTGACACCGGTGTCAAAGGATCCTGCCTCATATATATATATGGGAAATACAAGTGTTATGTTACATGAAAAATCTCCACTTTCCTACACACTCAATATAGCATGGGACCCACTTCAACTTTTTTTGCTTTTTTACTATACAATGGGGCCCACAGTGTTTTTGTGTCTGTAACATGACACAAATGGTGTCATGTTACATGACAAACTATTATTCATATATATATATATATATATATATATATATATATATATATATATGGGTCAGGATCATTTTACATCAGTGTAAGTTACACTCTCAATCTTGACCATTGATCCCACTTATATCTAAGGGCTCTAATTTTTTAGTAATGTGAGTCATTGGATATAAGTGGATCAATGTTCAAGATTGAGTGTAAGACTTCTAACTCTTACACTGGTGTAAGAATATCCTGCCCCTATATATATATATATATATATATATATATATATATATATATGGGTCAGGATTATTTTACACCAGTGTAAGTTACACTCTCAATCTTATCCATTGATTTCATTTATATCTAACGGTTCAAATTTTTTAGTAATGTGAGCTATTGGATGCAAGTAGATCATTGGTCAAGATTGGGTGTAAGACATCTAATTCTTACACCGCTGTAATATATATATTACAACCACACATACAACGGTTGTAATAGTCTTTTTCATTATATATAGGGGCATGATATTCTTACAGCGGTGTAAGAATTAGACGTCTTACACCCTATCTTGACCAATGATCTACTTGTATCCAATAGCTCACATTACTAAAAAATTAGAGCCTTTGGAAATAAGTGGGATCAATGGACAAGATTGAGAGTGTAACTTACACTGGTGTAAAATGATCATGACTCATATATATATATATATATATATATATATATATGGTATATTTACATAGTGTAGTTTGTAAACTACACGGTATATTTACACAGTGTAGTTTGTAAACAAAAAGTTTGTAAATGTACCCTATATATAGTTTGTAAACAAAAAGTTTGTAAATAAACCTGTAAATATAAATATATATATATATATATATATATATATTTACAGGTTTATTTACAAACTTTTTGTTTACAAACTACACTATGTCTGACCGGTCATACTTAGTGTAATTTGTAAAAAACGTTTGTAAACGGATCCATATATATATATATATATATATATATATATATATATATATATATATATATATATATATATATATGAGCAAGATCATTTGACACTGGTGTTAATCTTTAAAATTTGACACCAAATCTTAACCGTTAATTTCCATCAATCAACGGTTATCATTTATTGAGAATTAATAATTAAATAATAAACTTGATTGACGGAAATCAACCGTTAGAATTTGGTGTTAAATTTTAAAGTTTAACATCAATGTCAAATGATCCTATCTCACACACACACACACAGATATATATATATATATATATATATATATATATATATGGGTTCACTTTTTCTACAGTGAACGTAGATAAGTTATCTACATTGAGCCCAAAACGATGTCGTTTTGAGACGAAAATCAAGTTATTTTTGTAATTATAATTTATTTCAGGGTTGTAATAGTCTTTTTCATTATAATTTTTTAATTTTTCAATTCAAAACGACGTCATTTTGGAGCGAATGTAGATAATTTATCTACATTCACTGTAGAAATATTAAAGCTTATATATATATATGGGAGAAATATTTGTCAATTTAAGAGAGAGATAGAGACAAAATAAATTTTTGTATTTAGAATTAAATTAAAAAAAATCACCTATTTTCTCTCCCGTGATTTTCATTTCTTGTGTCTATCTCTCTTCTAAAATGACATAGTTTATTCCATTTAAAATGACAAACATCAAACCCTATATATATATACATATGGGAAAAAATTTATCCGGCAACTTGAGATAAGTTTATCTTCGGCTACTCCAAAACTACGTCGTTTTGTTTATTTATTTCCTTATATTAATTGATTCACCTTTGAATGGTTATGATTTCTTTTTTCTCTCTCTTCCTTCATTACCATTGATCCATCTTTGTACGGTTATGATTTAGTAACCGAAGATAAAATTATCTCAAGCAGTTTGAGAAACGATAAGCCCTATATATATATATTTCTCTCTTCCTTCCTTCACACACACATAGGGGTGTTCACGGTCTGGATTGGATCGGTTTTGGAAGCAAAAATCATCTGATCCAATCCCTTCGGTTTGATCATATAATCATCCATTCGGTTTGGATTTTTTTTCAAATTCGATCCAATTCAATTTTTTTCGATTTGGATTGGATCAGTTTGCGGTTTTTTGAAAATCCTAAAATTTATTTCATGATTATTGTACAAATAGCATCTTTTGTATATATTGGCTTTATATTTTTTTTTTGAAATACAAAAGTATTAGTAAACTATAATATAATTTTTTTTTTTTTTGGATAATGAGATATGAAGCTCTATAAAGATAAAAAAAAAATTTGATGAGATGTGACTAGATTTTTTATAGGTTTAGTTGATAGGTTAATGAGTCTTGGGTTTAGAAATTTTTGGGCTATGATTGGGGAAGTATCCAAATAGGTAGAGGGGAATTAATATATTGGATCCGTTTGGATTGGATCGTTTTTCATCAACCCATCCAATCCAATTAAAATTTGCGGTTTTTTGTCGATTTTTGATTTTTCGGTTTATTCGGTTATCAGTTTTTCGGTTCGGTTATCGCAGTTTGAATCGGTTGATGAACACCTTTATACACACACACACACCAAATCCTAATCGTTAGTTTCCATCAATCAACAATTATCATTTATTGGAAAATAATAATTAAATAATAAGTTTGATTGGAGGAAATCATAATCATTGATTGGCAAAAAAATCAACGGTTAGGATTTGGTGTCAAATTTTAAAGTTTAACATCAATGTCAAATGACCCTATCACACGCACATATATATAAAGAATGGATCTTGACTTTAGTACAAGACTAAGAAATCTTATATTATAGCTTGACCGTTGATTTATGTTTATTTAACAATTATAGTTTATTGAGTTATAGAAATTAATTAATTATTAATTTCATGTAATTAAATAGATAGAAATCAATGCGTGAAAAATAGAGTAAAGTCAAAATGTCTAGGTGCCTTTGTGGAAATTTCTATTATATATATATTATATGATAAATAATAATAAAATATATTAATATTTAAAAAATTAAAATATAACAATAGTTAGTACCAGGTGCCTTCGTGGAAGTTTCTAGGAATTTTCTTACTTGTCACTTCCAAGTTTATAGTTTTGCATGTGAATTATTTTTATAAATTAAATAATTGGAATTAGTCATTTAGTCTCCTAAACATTACAATTTTTTTTTTATATCCCTCTTCAAATATACTAGCTGGCTAGCTGCATCCCCATACCTTGGAGTGGGAAATCACCATTAACCTCAGGAATATATTCCGAATCTATTTATTTTTGCTTTCCATTGCCATTTTGAATTTCAGGTTGATGGTAACATAAATAGAATGGATAATATGTGTGAACGTTTCTTCCTCTAAACTAGGGGGTGGCAATTTAGGTTGGCTCGTCTCGACCTGTCGAAAACGGGGTGGGGCGGGTTGGTCCGCCATTGAATATGGATTGA